CTCCCCTTAAGTTTTGTGTCTCACTCACTGTACCCTAGTCCTGGCCTGGGCTGAAAGAGACGAGAGAAGGCAAGAAGAGATAGTCAGTGGTTTAAAGACTTATATGCAGGGATTTGGGGTCAAAACCTAAAACAGAAAAGTTGGCAATTCCATTTTATCCTGCTCTATGCATTCTGTGCCCTGGGCGCCCTCATGCCAGTGAAGGCCGTTCTTTCATTGAGCGCCTTCCCTTGCCTTGGCAGCTGCACTCACTTTTATATGCAGGTTCTGGAATGCTGGGAGCTGTATGGCAGCCAACATCTCTCCTCTCCCTTCTCAAACATGACGTTCTCTGTAATTCAGTTACAGACACCTCTTTAGCCTTTTCACCCAGGGAGCCTGATCAAGGAACCTAAGAACTATAAGCCTCATTTGCCTTCTCTGGGTATGCAAGTGAATTTGCATATATCTTGTGTCCATTTGCATTCCCCTCACATGGGGTATTTAGAATAAAAACAACATTCATGAATCAAAATGAAGCTTGTTCCATTCTTTTTCTGTCAAAGTATGGTGTAAGTAAAAGGATACTGCAGTGTGAGAAAAGAGCTGAAATTATATTTGCCAGGGTTATGTGTAGTTTTAAAGACAAGCCAATTTGGTGGCATTTACCACCACAAAAATTGGCATTTAATATTTATAGGTTTAGCGTTGCAGAACATAATCACTCATGACTGAAAGAGCCAGCCCCTTCCTCTACTATTCCTGTAGAAATTTGAGCAAAGAGCTCTTGAAAGCTGAAATGGCCCTCTTTTCCTTCTTCAAGCCACCACTTAAAGGGTGGAAGTCTGATGGTTCCAGTTAACTGATTTCTCCATTTGAAGTGAAATGAATAAGTGGAAGAACCTATAAAAAGGGAGAAAAGGAAGGAGTGTTTCTCCTCATCCTCCCTCAGCCCCTTTGGGAGCTGAAAGAACTAAGAAAGGAAAGGAGTAGTCTGCTATGAACACTGCACAGAATTTCATCTTAAGAAACAAATAGCAGACAGTAGGCTGGCCCCAAACGAGATGCAATCCAAAATGATGGAAACTGATACTGTGAATAGCAAGGGCAAGTTCATTATAGAATTGCTTTAAAGAGTAGAACAGGTAAGTAAGAATATGTCAACATAACTCCAGCACTAAAACCAGAGGGTGTGTGAGACAGGGATTACTTTTATATTATAATACAAGCGAAATTAATTCTTGTATTATTTTTCATATGAACAACTGTAAACCTACCTTTCCTCCACTCTGTATAACATACAATTTAGCATTTTATCCTTTTAAGGTGTACAATTCAATGGTATTAAGTACATTTTACAACGTTGTGCAACCATCACCACCATCTAGTTTCAGAACTGTTTCATCACCCCCCAAAAAAACCTTGTACCCATTAAGCAGTCATTTCCTATTCCCTCCTTTCCCTCTCCCCTGGCAACCATTAGTCTGCTTTCTGTTTATTAGGCTATAGAGACTGACTTACCTCAGTATCCAGATTTGCCTTTTCTAGATATTTCATATAAATAGAATCATATAATATTTGGGCTTTTATGCCTGGTTTCTTTCACTTAGCATAATGTTCTCAAGTTTCATCCATGTTGTAGCATGTACTAGGACTTCATTTCATGACTGAATAATATTCATCATATGGATTATCATATCACATTTTGTTTATCCATTCATCTTTTGGTGGATATTTGAGTTGTCTTCTATTTACATTTGTGTACAAGTTGTTGTTTAAACATCTGTTTTCAATTATTTTGGAAATATATCCAGGAGTAGAATTACCAGATCATATGTAATTCTATACTTAACTTCTTTTTTTAACCCTCACCTGTGGGTATTTTTTCCACTGATTTTAGAGAGAGTGGAAGGGAGGGAGAGAGGGGAAAGAGAAAGAGAGAGACATTGATGTGACAGCAACACATGAATTGGTTGCCTCCCGCACATGCCCCAACCAGGGACATGGATCAAAACCTGCAACCCAGGTATGTGCCCTTGATGGGGAATTGAACCTGAGACCCTTCGATCTGAGGCCTGATGCTCTAACCACTGAAAAAAATTGCAAGGGCTAGATTTAACTTCTTGAGAAACTGCCAAACAGTTTTCCACAAGGGGCTCACCTAGTTACATTCCTATCAGTAATATATGACAGTTCCAATATCTCCACATCCTCACCAACACTTTAATGGATGTGATCAGTAAGTGGAACTTGACTTGAGAGGAACCTCAGCCTCAAATATTGGAGAAAAATATGAACTGAAATAATCCTGGTTCTTTAAATTAGAGCAAATTCATCTCTCTTCTGCTAAGCAAGATAAATTTAGGTTGCCTTGAGGGGGGGAAAGATGCTCCTTTGTTTCAATCCAAAGCAGATGAAAGAACAAAATCCAGTAAAGGTACCACAATTAAAGAAAATCTACTGAGGAAATAGTAACTAAAATACTAGCAAATAAAATTCAGCAGCATCTTAAAAGAATTAAACACCAGACTAAGTGGAATCACATTAGGAATGCAAGGATAGTTCAACATCAGAAAATTTTTTTTTTAAATATATTTTATTGATTTTTTACAGAGACGAAGGGAGAGAGATAGAGAGTTAGAAACACTGGAGAGAAACATCGATCAGCTGCCTCCTGCACATCTCCTACTGGGAATGTGCCCACAACCCAGGTACATGCCCTTGACCGGAATCGAACCTGGGACCTTTCAGTCCGCAGGCCGACGCTCTATCCACTGAGCCAAACCGGTTTTGGCTCAACATCAGAAAATTTATTGCAATAACTAACCATTTAAAAATTCAAAAGAGAAAAGTATATATGATCACCCCTTTATTGATAGACTCCTTCAGCCAACAAATGTATGCTATGCTAGATTCTGGGGATATGGCAGGCAACAAAAATTGAAAAAATCTCTCCCCTAGAGAGCTTACATTTTAGTCAAGGTTGATATGTAATAAATAATTAAGCAAATAAATATATAATATCTGAAAAAATATAATATGCTGTGAAAAAATAAAGGGAGATAAAAATTATAAGGATAGAAAAGTAATATAATCTAACCTCTATTATAAAAAGACTAGAGGCCCGGTGCATGAAAATTCATGCACTGGAAGGGGAGTCCCTCAGCCTGGCCTGCCCCCTCTCACAGTCTGAGAGCTCTCAGGGGTGGGAGGTGGCCTGGCAATCAGGGGAAGGCGACACCCCATCACATCTCTGCTGCTGCCACTGCTGGCAGTGCAAGCCTTGGCCGGCCCTGGTTACCTGAGCCTCGGACAGCCCTGGTTACCTGAGCCTTGGCCGGCCCTGGGCGGCTGGGGGACTGAGGGGATTGAGGGTCTCCGGAAGCAGGCAGGCATGGGCCCGGCCTGGCCACACACCTGCCGCCCTGGCGGGGCTGAGGGGACTGGGCACTGCCATCTTGTGGCTGTGGGCACCGCTATCTTTGAGGGTGTGGTAGTCAATTAGCATATTCCGTCCTTACTGGCTGTGGGTGTTGCTATCTTTGAGGGTGGGGCAGTCAATTAGCATATTCCCTCCTTATTGGCTGTGGCACCACCATCTTTGCAATGGTGTGAGAGTCAATTAGCATATTCCCTCTTTATTAGATAGGATTCTTCTGACTACTAAGTTGACAGCTCTAGAGACAGGAAAATGCTATAATAGTTTAAGTATGGAAAGATGGTGGCTAGCACCAGAATGGTAGTAAGTGAAGGTGGGGAAAGGTGGTTATATTCTGGATGTGTTATGAATCTATTATACCATGGCTTTTTTAAAAATTAAAGTAGAGAAAATTATATTTTCTGTATTAGTTCAGGTTTTCAAAGAAAGATCCTCTTATTTCTTGCCTGGAGATAAAACAACCTGGTTGCTAGCTTTCTAAAGCTGGGTAGGGAAAAGAGTAGAATGTCCTGTTTAGAATACAGACTTTCATGTTTTTATCCCATGCATTTGTTTTCTTTCTTTTTTTAAAGTTATACAAGGATTTTCATTTTTTAAATTTTTTTTAATATTTGGGTTTGACAGTGCATGTCTTATTTTTTTTAATATATATTTTATTGATTTTTTTACAGAGAGGAAGGGAGAGGGAGAGAGAGTTAGAAACATCAATGAGAGAGAAACATCGATTAGCTGCCTTCTGCACACTCCCTACTGGGGATGTGCCCGCAACCAAGGTACATGCCCTTGACTGGAATCGAACCTGGGACCCTTCAGTCCACAGGCTGACGCTCTATCCACTGAGCCAAACCGGTCAGGGCAAGGATTTTTGTTTGTTTGTTTGTTATATTTTTAATCCTCACCCAAGGACATACTCTTATTGATTTGAGAGAGACAGAGAAAAGAAGGAGAAGGATAGAGAGAGAAACATCGATGTGAACGTGAAACATCAATCAGTTGTCTCCTACATGCACCCCAAATGCAGATCAAACCTGCAGCCTGGGTATGTGCCCTGACTGGGAATTGAACCTGTGACCTTTTGGTGTATTGGAGGATGCTCCAACCAAGTGAGCCACACTGGCCAGGGCCCATACATTTGTTTTCATACTCATTCCCCAGAGCTTGATGTAACCAAGTCCAGAGGTTCTCTAGTTCAATTTCTCCAAAGAAGCTACCTCCCATCTCCTGTATGTTGAAGTAGAAGAAAGCATCTGACTACGTATGGTGGCTGTAGAGGGTGAGCATCTGGGTTCTACATGATCCTTGTAAGAACTTTTAAATAATCCACACCCTTCAACCCATTCCTTCCCTGCATATATTCTTTACCCCTCCAATTCTTTGGCTCTCTGAGGTTCCATTGCTGCAGTATCTAGGTTTTGCCTTTCTCTAACCTTAGTCATTTGTCATTTCTCCATCACTTTTTATTAGCCTCTCACCTGAGGCTATTTTTCCATTGATTTTTAGAGAGAGTGGAAGAAAGAGGAAAAGACAAGAGAGAAATATTGATGTGAGAGAAACCAGTGATTTTTCTCACATGCACCCTGACCGGGGCCCAGGCCAGGGAGGAGCCTGCAACCGAGGTATATGCCCTTGACCAGAATCGAACCCAGGACCCTTCGACCCACAGGCCAACGTTCTATCCACTGAGCAAAACCAGCTAGAGCATCTCCATCCACTTTTAACTTTCATATTTGATGCCTTGGGATTAAAGATGTTTCCTCACACCACTGAATATGGTGTTCGTGTTTTTATTTCTTGCTCTCTTACAAATGCCTTTAAACATATTAATTATGCCTAATATGACTAATAATAGGAAAGTGCAAATTAAACCTTCAATAAGACACCATTTTCCACCTATAGGATTAGCAAAGATCATTGAAAAGGTTATTTGGCAGGCTTCAGTTCTTCTTTGACTGTTAGCTGGAAACCTCAGTTCCTCACAACATAAGTCTTTCCATAGTTAGGTTGTCTGAGTGTCCTCAAGACATGGCAGCTGACTTCCTTCAGAACATGTGATAGAAGAGAGAGAGAAAGTCCAAGAAGGAAGCCACAGTCTTTTTTTAAACAGCCTTATTGATATATAATTTATAAACTATACAGTTTCCTCATTCAAAGTGTACAATTCAATGGCTTTATTTACAGAGTTTTGCAACCATCACCACAATCAGTGGTGAATCTTAGAACATTTTTATTATTTCCAAAGTAATCCTGAACTAAGCCATGACATCCCAAACCCCCACCTCACCACCACCCTTCATTACATATAAAACTATACAATAACTGGTCTTTGTGACTGGCTTCTTTCACCTAGCATGTTTTTAAGATCAACTATGTTAGAGCATGTATCAGTATTTCATTTCTTTTCATTAAGTGGTCTCTTTTTGTCCAATAGCTTTTAGTGAAATTCCCACTTATTTCTACTTATATATCTAGGTTTTTCTCTCACTGTTTCTATATCCAAGAAAGACCTGGATCTTCTTGGCATGGAATTTGGGTTAGCATTTTCCAACCTCAGAAACAATTCCCTTTAGAACTAGTTGAGGTTCCAATTTTGCCTGTGGACCCTGTGTCCTTGTAGTCTTTCATAATCTAATCTTGCAAGTGGCATACCACTACATCTGCCATATTCTATTGGTCAAACAGACCAATCTTCATATAATGTGGGAGAGGACTATAATAGTGTATATATACCAAAAGTCAGGAATCACTGAGGGCCTTCAGGGTGGCTGCCTACTACAGTGAGAATGTTGTCATGTTGCAATCCATGTGAGAAGTAAAGGCTTAACCTCTAAGTTTGCCCCATCTTATAGATTACCACTTACAAACAACAAAAAAGCTCACTTACTCTGCATGATAGAAAGAAAAAGCCCCCACTTGGAGGAAGCTATCCAGGAGTCAGTGTCCCTTCAGCAGCTCCTTGATCAATATAGTGGTGAATATCTGGAATGAGGAAATGAGGATTAACACCTGGCTTGAAAAGAGAACAGAGAAAGAAACCAAACACTGATAACAACTTTACTAAACACAGTTTTAGCTATATAAGTAAAGTTGAAAAACACTTACCTGGAATAAATGTATTCACCCTGAAATCCAACAATAGCTATAGACCATAGAGAAGCAAGTAAACTGCAGCTTTCTTATGGTTTGGTCATAAATATTCACTCAATCATTTTGTCATTCAACATATGTTGATGATAAATAAGGGACTTTTACACTCAATTCATATTTTCTGAGTTCCCCTTTGGGATATGAAACTATACTTAACAATATAATAAGGAAACGTAAAGCAAACACACAGCCCCTTCCTTCAAAAACCTTTCATTCAAAATCAAGAAAAACTAGATAAATGACACACATATTTGTTTTTAAAGACAATAAACACAAGGTCCTTAAAAGTTTTTCTTCAAAATATACATATATTGCCATTTATCTTGGATTCTCTTTTTCTATCTCCATGTGTTTTTAGTTATTGATGAAAACTGTTATATACAAGATGGCTTTTTCAATAAAAAAAAACCCACATGTTTTAGGGCACAGTGTAGCTATACCATCTGTTTGGGCTTATTTTCCTGGTTAATGTCAATTCAGTGGATAACTAGTAAGATGAACATTTGGAGTTCTGAAATTTCTTTGAAAGACTAATTTGTGTTAGATGGTATAACCATGTTAAAAGACGGTAAGTTGAATCTCTTTGGTACAATTAAAACACAAGGAATTATATAAAGATAGCTTTTACTAAGCTTGGTTCAATAGAAATATTCCAGATCAACAGATTGAAGGAGCTTTTTATTTAAAACTAGAGGACCGGCGCACCGATTCATGCACTGGTGGGGTCCCTTGGCCTGCCGGTTTCAGCCCGATCCCCACAGGCCAGGCTGAGGGACCCCATGGGTGCACAAATGAGTGCACCAAGCTGGTTTTGGCCTGATCCCTGCAGGCCAGGCCAAGGGACCCCACCAGTGCACAAATCCATACACCAAGCCTCTAGTATGCATATAAAATCTTTGGTTAATCTCTTCCCGCCCTACTCCCACCCCCTTCCCTCTGAGATTCATCAGTCTGTTTCATGTTTCCATGCCTGTGCATTGAGTGTCTGCCCTCTGATGGTCATTGCGCATCATAGCTACCTGTGGAATGGTCAGACGGTCGCTTAGGCTTTTATATATAGACTAGAGGCACGATGCACGAAATTCATGCAAGAATAAGCCTTCCTTCGCCCTGCTGCCAGCACCAGCTTTTTCTGGCACCTGGGACCTGGGCTTCCCTCCAGCTGCCAGCAAGCACCCAGGACCCGGGCCTCCCTCGCAGCCCTGGCTTCATCCGAAAGGTTGTCCAGAAGGATATCCAGAAGGACATCCAGTTTAATTAGCATATTATTGCTTTTATTATTATAGTTTTACAGATAGGTATAAACTCAAGACAGATTAATTTGTGATGGGTCAATAACAAAGAATATAATTTAACACATTTCCATTTCTGTAAAGTAGTAACAAGAAATTTTAGACTGTGTATAATTTGGTATTTATGTAAGATCAACTTAAAAGCAACATTCAAACAACCTAGTTAGCAGCCTCCACCCTCTCTCAGCTTTTATACCTTTAGCAGAAACTATCACGCAAATAAATGGCTTTCTCTCAACAGAATCCCAAGCATAGTATGTCAGGTCAGGCTGCAAACTCTTTTTTTTTTTTTTAAGATTGGGCATATTTATTTAGTTTTTATTTTTTGTTAATCCTCAGTTAAGGTTATTTTTCCCCATTGATTTTTAGAGAAAGCATGGAAGGGAGTGGGAGAGAGAGAAACATCAATGTGAGAGAGACACATCAACTGATTGCCTTCCGCACATGCCCCGACCAGGCCCAGGGATTGAGCCTACAACTGAGGTGCATGCCCTTGACTGGAATCAAATCTATGATCCTCAGTCTATGGGCCAACACTCTATCCCAGTGATGGCGAACCTATGACACGCATGTCAGAGGTGACACGTGAACTCACTTTTTTGGTTGATTTTTCTTTGTTAAATGGCATTTAAATATATAAAATAAATATCAAAAATATAAATCTTTGTTTTACTATGGTTGCAAATATCAAAAAATTTCTATATGTGACACAGCACCAGAGTTAAGTTAGGGTTTTTCAAAATGCTGACACGCCGAGCTCAAAAGGTTCACCATCACTGCTCTATCCACTGAGCAAAACTGGCCAGGGCTTATTTTTTATCCTCACCTGAAGATATTTTTCCATTGACTTTTAGAGAGAGTAGGAGGGAAGGGGGAGGGGTGGAGGTGGGGGGAGACAGAGAGACAGAAAGAGAGAAACTCAGCGATTGATTGCCTCCTGTGTGCGCCCGACCAGACTGGGAAACCTGCAACCCAGGTTTGTGCCCTTGACCAAGAATCCAACCCAAGACCCTTTGGTCTGCAGGCCAACATTCTAACCACTGAGAAAACTGGCCAGGGCAGGCTGCAAACTCTTAATATCAAAAGGAAGAAGAAGTTTTAAAAAGCTTTAGGTAAGAATGATTTTCATTCTATAAAAAAGAAATAAGTATACACCATTTTACCCCCAGTAAACCAGCAAAAATTAAATGTAAAAATACCAAATACCGAGGAATAAGTAGAATTCTTATAAACTGTGGGAGAGTGAGAAACAATTTCGCATTCGTTATCTCACAGTTAAATATTTACAAACTCCATAAACCAGCACCCCTACTTCTAGGTATATAACAAAAGAAACACTTGCATATGTGACCAGGAGGCATGCATAAGAATTTTTAATGCATCAATGTTTATAAATTTTTGTAAGGCTAGAAACAACCCAACTTGTACCAGCAGGAGAATAAATTGTAGTATCTTCACACAATGGAATGTTATAGTATTGAAAATGAACAATCAGCTTGGCTGGTGTGGCTAAGTGGTTTTGCATCAACCTATGATTCCAGGTCAGGGCACTTGCGTGGGTTGCGGGCGCCACTCCCGGGGGAGGCAGGAGGCAGCTGATCAATGATTCTCATCATTGATGTTTCTATCTCTCTCTCCCTTTCCCTTCCTCTCTGAAATTGATAAAAATATATGTTAAAAAAAACAATATGGACAACCATTCTATACAACAACATGAATGAATTTAGAAACATAGTGCTAATAGGATAAATCCCAAAACACTACATATTGGATGATAGCATTTTTATAAAGCTCAAAAATACACAAATTAAACAACATATTAGCATATATACATTTGTCATAAACCTAAACTTTAAAAAAGGAAACATCAATGGAATGAGAAGGACAAAATGTAGAATACTGGTAACCTCTGAGGGCAGGGGAAGAGATAGAGGAGGAACACAAAAGTAGATACAAGTTACTGAGAAATGTTCTAGCACTCAAGTTGGGTATTTCATTATATTATTAATCTTATGTGTTACATATATCTTTTATACATATTAAAAATAAAATTTAGAAATATTGGCATAATTCATTCTCCTTTCTTCCAAGTGAGAAGAGCTGATTTTTATTCTGCATGTAAAGAAAGTGAGGGTAGTATGGCTCTATCTCCAAATAAAGAATGAAACAGTTCTTCAAGATAGAACCCCTCTCAAAGCTGATAGATTTTAAAGAGAATAATCAGTTTATCTGAAATCAAGAGAATATAAGCAAAATTAAATTCAGGTGAATTAAATGGGATTTTTTTTCTAACATCTGAACGGAATATGTGGTAAACTGAACTTCCTACCTGCCAAAAAAGTATGATGATCCAGGATGGGATCTCAGCATCACCAGCTGAAGTTAAAATGTCCAGAGATAATTGGGGAAAGAGAATTTTCAGGAAAACTGGAAGCTCAGATTAGAATACCTAGCATAAAATGAGCAAAAAATACAAAAGCTAAAGAAATGAATTCATTTGTTTAAAAAAAAAAACACAAAACCCTTTCTTTAGCATAGATTTGCAGCAGGGAGGAAGAAAGGGACTGGAGTAATAGAGAAAATGGAGACAGTCCCTGTCCTCAAGGAACTCATACCCTAGTAATCACACAACAAAAGCTTTCAGTGTGTAAATGGAAAACTTACTATACAGAACCAATAAAAAAGGTGTTCAGACAGAGAAAGAGTAAAATGGTCCAACAATGAGAAAAGAAAACTTGGAGGTTTTCAAAGCAATTTAGTTGATTAATCTAATGAGTAAGAGGACAGTTTTAATCTTAGGCCAAAACTGTTAAGCCTGAATCTGGAGAGAGAGAGAGAGAGAGAGAGAGAGAGAGAGAGAGAGAGAGAGAGAGAGAGAGAGAGAGAGAGAGAGAGAGGAAAGGTTAGTGCCCCAGCAGGTGGGAATTCACATTTATGGAGTGCTATGTGCCAGATCCTCTTCTAAATGCTTTTTATGAATTAACTAATTTAATCCTCATAATATATCTATGTAAAAGTTGGTATTATTATCCTCATTGGATAAATGAGGAAACTGGGGCCTATAGAGGTTAATTTGCCCAAGGTCACATAGTTAGAAATTTAAGAGCAGAGTTTTGAACATTGGAGATTGGATTACCCAGCCCAGTTCTTGACTACCACAGGAGGGATTTCTTGTGCCACTCCAGCATGGCCAAGGGTGTGAACCTGAGGAGGGGCAGTGAAATATTGAAGAAAAGACAGACAAGAGAATACAGCTGGGGCTCGGTGGATCTCCTGTGCCTGGATGAGGACACAAAAGAACCAGCCTGCAGCCGATGCTTTATTTTATAGTCTGATTAAAACAAGGGTAGATTAACATGTATACAAATGTTCTTATTTTGGCAACACTTGCTGCACCTCCCATAGCCCATTAGCTACTTAGGAAGGAAATAGGGAGGGCTACAAGGTCAGACTTAATTATGCTAAGAGAGCTCTGCCCTCCAGGCTGGGACTTGTTTGTGGCCCTGCCACAGGTCAGCCGGATGCTTGACCCTAGAGCCACTCCCTACAATTTCTTTTTTTCTTTTTTGATGGGGGAAAAATACTTTAAGGTGTGCATTAAACCCTTTTTTAAAAAAAAAAAAATGTTTTTTGTTGATTTTTAGAAAGAGAGGAAGGGAGAGGGATAGAGAGGTAGAGAAAATTTTATGAGAGAGAAACATCATTGATCAATCAGCTGCCTTCTGCATGCACCGCCCCCCACCCCACCCCTGGGGATCCAGCTGGAAATCCGGGGCTTGTGCCCTGACTGGGAATCCAACCAGTGATCTCTTGGTTCAAGGGTTGAAGCTCAACCACTGGGCCACACTGGCCAGACAAGGAGGATTTCTTAAATAAAGGTTGGGAAAAAACAGAAGAGCTAGAAAAAGTTATTCACATAATCTCATTAAAGTTTATTTATATACAGGTGAGGTGAATTGTAAATATTGAATTTTTATCCCCAGACATGTTACACCTTGATAAATGTTTAAATGTTTTTATTTATTTTAGAGAGAGTGAGAGGAAGGGACAGGTAGACAGAGAGAAACATCAATGAGAAAGAAGCATCCTTTGCCTGCTGCACACTCCCTACTGGGGATGAAGCCCAAAACCCTGAACATGTGCCCTGAGCAGGAATCAAAATGGCAACCTCTTGGTACATGGAATGATGCTTCAGCCAACTGAGCCAGGTCACAACTTGATAAATATTGTTGGTGTGCCTCAAAATTTTGTACTCGACAATAAGAATGTAGAATATTACAGAGAACCTAGTGGAGAAAAGCTGTGTGTCCAGGATCGTGATCTTAGGAGAAAATCTCATCTTTTTTATCCCTCAGGATACAGAGATAGAAAATTACTCAAGGTAAGCCTGGCAAAGCCCTCAACTTCCACAGAATAGACTGATGTACTTTATAGCCAATCTCAGTGCATGTATGTATTTATTCAGTCTCTTTTTTATTTCTTTCTCAGCAAACTAATAACTGACTTGTTAGGACCATTGTTTCAGCAGTATGCTAATGCGATAAAATTGATGGGTTTAATTCTTTTTTAGCTCAGGTGACCATAAATTGCACCCCTAAACTTAGCAAACATGAGCTGTTGAATGACCCTAGAGAAACTGTGTTTGGCTCAGAACAAGTCTATCAACATTACAAAAGATAATGCTTTACTGAGTGTCAGAACTTTCATCTTTGTATTCAAGAACACATTAATTTTCACAGAGAATGATAAAAGTGATATTTTTAATGTCTCACAATGAATCTCTGGGACAATCAAGAATAGATACTTGGAAAGTTCAATATACTTGCTCAGATTGACCTTACCTATGTTATACAGTTATACATGATAGAGTCTTTGCCTAACCTCACAATATATATTCAATCACTCTTGTTTTTATGTAGCCAATAAAGAAACAAATAAATAAAAACAGAAATGATTTCAGTTTCTAATTGCTTATGGAGGAACTATTACATGAGGACAAACTAATAAAAACAAAATCCCAAATAAAAAATGCTAATTTATATGCTTACAATAAAGTGATCTGATGCAAATTATATAATTCATTGAGTGAAAGAAACCCACAAAGCAGTGACTGAGCTTTATTTAGCAGACTAGTGACCCAGTGCACGAAATTCGTGCACATTAAAAGGGAATTAGAGGAAATATTTTAATATTGCTATTTGCCCTTTATAATAGAAGTGTCAGAGATGAAAGAAAATTAGTAAAATGTACATGAAAATCTTCCTCCTGTCAGAGTCTGGGGCACTCCATGGGAACCAGAGTCAAGTCCCCACCCACCCACGTGCACCTCAAAATCGAACGAGACCCAGACCCAGCCGGCCCTGCCCCCATTGGGCTAGATCCAGACCTGGCTGGCCCACTGGGTGCAGCCTCAGGTTGCCTGGTCCAGCACCGGGGTGGGGGGCATGGCCTAAGGTCCCCTGGCCTGGGCCAGAGCAGGGGGAATGCCTTAAGGTCCTCATTAAGCCCCGCCAGGCAGGGGATGCGCTCTGAGGTTCCCCATCAAGCCCTGCTGAGCAGAAGGCATGACCTTAGGTTCCCTTGTCAAGCCCTGCCGGGCAGGTGCAGCATGAGGTACCCCAGCCTGGCGCCAGGGCCGGGGGCACGGCCTGAGGTCCCCTGTCAAGCTCCACCAGACGGGGGGTGCAGCCTCAGGTCCTTGCTGATTGCTCATTAAGTCTCGTTATGGGAACTCAGCATCTGCTGTGGGCGCAGCCATCTTGTGTTATGGAATCCCTGCCTCTGCCATGGGCACCACCATCTTGACCATTACAGAGTGATGGTCAATTTGCATATTCCCTCTTTATTAGCTAGGATTCTGCTGCTCACTAAACTAAAGCCAAATTTCTAACATGCCCTGACATCTGACAAGGCCACAATAATAGGGGAGGTGCCCCATTATTATCCAAGAATATCCAGAGGAAAGGAAAAGGATGGTGAAAGGCAAAGTTAATACGAAAATTTATCAGATTAAGAATGAGTATAAGTAAATCTCCAATTTCAACTGGAAATAGAAATGGCTCAAATTATCTTTATAGACAATCTCAGTGCATGTATGTATATTTTTATTGATTTCAGAGAGGTAAGGAGAGGGGAAGGGAGAGAAAAACATCAATGATGAGAGAAAAACATTGATTGGCTCCCTCCTATAGGCTCCCATGTGCCCTGATTGGGAATCAAACCACTGGGACACTCAACCACTGAGCCACACTAGCTGGCAAGAAATGTAAAGTTTTGATGTCTGATATTTCAGAGTAGAGATAGAAACCACACTCTTAGACAGGGTTAATATTCTAAACTTCTCCAAAGTAGAGGTATAGGAAGGAGGGAAGGAGACAGGGAGTTAATTCAATGGCAAAGAGTGCAAGCTATGAAAGAAAATTGTCTAGGTTCAATTCCTAGCTCTGACACTTGGTAGCTGTGTGATTTTGACAGGTTTTCTTAATCTCTCCATGCCTCAGGTTTCTCATCTGTAAAATGAGGATAACAGAACTTACTTATAAGGTTGCTGTGAGGACTTCATGAGCTAATATATACAGTGTTTACACAGTGCCAGGTTTATAATAAGAGCACTATATAAACATTCCATTTTTTATTAAAAGATATCTAAAGATTAATATCAATGGAGATATTTAATCAGAGAATCAAGAAGAAATCTGATACAAGTGTGCAATCTTTTATCCCAAATCCCTGGGGCCAGATGAGTTTCTAAATCAAATATTTTAAAAATAATTTAGGAGTTTAATATATTATGCTGTCTACATTTTACTTAAGATGTATAGCCTGGCTAGTGTGGTTTAGTGGTTGAGCATTGACCTATGAACTAGGCAGTCACAATTAAATTCCTGGTTAGGGCACATGCCCAGGATTGCAGGCACGATCCCCAGTAGGGGGCATGTATGAGCCAGCCGATCAATGATTCCCTCTGATCATTGATGTTTCTATCTCTCTCTCTCCTTTCCTCTCTAAAATCAATAAAAATATTTTTTTCAAAACAAAACAAAACATGTATTGTCCTGGGCAGCAGCCATTAATCAAACACATATTTCCACAATGAAATGCATCAATAGTAACACCAAATGGAATAAATGAAGACTTTAGAGTCATGTCAATTCCAGTTTTTGCCACCAAACAAATTAAGAAAATAATTTGGGATTTTTCTCAGAAGATGGCGGCGTAGTAAATGCCTGTACTCACTGCCTCCCACAACCACATCAAAATTACAACTAAAAGACAAAGCAACCATCATCCAGGACTGCTGGGAAGCTGGCTGAATGGAAGTCCTATGCCTAGAGAAGTATTAAAGAAAGCACACTGAGACTGGTAGGAGGTGCCGAGATGCGGACCAGGCTGGGCCAGCACCCACGTGTGCCGCTTTTTTAATAGGGAGGGAGATCATCTCTGTGGAGGCCGCCGGGAGAAGCTAGGGATCCCAGCCCCATACCAGACCCCCAGCCCAGGGTTCCAGAGCTGGGAAAAGAAGTCCCTATGAGCAGTAAGAACTGTGAGCTATAAAAACCAGCGTAGATTGGGGCTCAGTGACACAGAGGCTGCTGGAGACCCAGCTGTTCTTCTTAAAAGGCTGGCAACAAGAATTGAACTTACAAGGTCCTGCTTCCTCTGAGCTCCAACTCCAGGAAGAGGCTCTGGGGAACACAGACACATATGAGGAGGAACTGGATTGTCTGGCATCTGGGCAGGAACTCAGGGAGGCTTTCTCCCAGATGGAGGTGCTGGCAGGGATCATTGTTCCTATGCTGGGAGCTCCCAGGTCACTGGGCTAACTGGCAGCCATTTCTGTTTGCTCTGCCTTGGTGATTCCCTAAGACCCCACCTCATCCAATTTACCTCACCCAAGCTGTGTGCAGCAGCTTTTGCATATAAATGGCCTTTCCTTGCTCAGGATAAAATCTTTCAAATAAGCTGCAGCTGGGCCAGGGAGTGCCAAACCTATCAATAAAAGGCCCAAGACCCAGGACCAGCACCAATCTGCCTTGCTTCATAGCTGGGTCTCATCTAGGCACTTCCAAACCCAATACAAAGAGGAGGAATCTGAAGATCTCTCTGTAGCTCCTGCTGGGTGGCCCCAGGCAGTGGCTGACTTTGTACCTCTCTGGAGACCCAAGAGCCAGTGTACCCAGTGGTCAGTGTCAGACCATATCAGTTAACAACTCTACACATCCATAAGTGACACACTCAAGGGGCAGACACAGTAAGCACCAAAGCCCCACTGAAGCAAGTCCTGATCCATAGGGGTGTCTCCTACACAGCAGCTCTCTTGCTGTAGTCACAGCTGGACCTCACAGCCAATTGGCCTGAAGGTCGATTCCTCCCAGCGACACCAACAGCAATCAAGTTTCAACTACAACAAGACTATGCTCACAGCCCACAAAGGGGTGTACCTAGAGCTCTCAGCTCAGGTGACTGGGGAGGCTGAGCCACTGGGCTCTAGAAAACAACTACTACACAAGGCCACTCTACCAACTCAAGGAGACCTAGCAGCTCTACCCAATACATAGAAACAAACACAGGGAAGCAGCCAAAATCCAGAGACAGGAAGGCATGTTACAAATGAAAGAAATGTAATTGCAGATGTATTATTGTGAATCTCTGCCTGTTTGTAGTCATAACTTTTATTGTATTAAGTAATGAAATAATCATGGGAAATATAGAGCAACAATGATATTAGATGAAATTTTTTTTCAGAAAACCTAATGAGTACCCAGAAAACCTAATGAAATAATTTTCTCTTAAAAAAAAAAAAAAATGCCGAAACCGGTTTGGCTCAGTGGCTAGAGCGTCGGCCTGCGGACTGAAAGGTCCCGGGTTCGATTCCGGTCGGGGGCATGTGCCTGGGTTGCGGGCACGTCCCCAGTGGGAGATGTGCAGGAGGCGGCTGATCGGTGTTTCTCTCTCATCGATGTTTCTGGCTCTCTATCTCTCTCCCTTCCTCTCTGTAAAAAATCAATAAAAAAAAATTTAAAAAAAATAAAAAGAATGTATAGGTAATTATCACATGGGATGTTACCTGGATTATACTTGAGGATTTTATGTGTCATAAATTGTTCACAATGCCTGAAATATCTCCCCAGATATCCCCATGGATGACTACTTCAGGTCTCTGTCTCCCCAGATATCCCCATGGATGACTATTTCAGGTCTCTGACCAAATGTTACTCCCTCTTCATAAAGGTTTTCTTGATCATACTATTTAAAATGTCAGGTGGGAGGCATGCACACACACAATCTCACAGAAAACTTTTCCCCCTTTCTTTGTTTTTCTTTTTAGAACTTATCCACTACCCAGCAATATATATTTGTTTATTTGTCTTACTAGAATGGCAAACTATGAAAGCAGGAATTTGTTTTAATTGAGCACTTAGAACAATGTCTGGCAAATAGGCAGTTGACAGATACTATTCAATAAATGACTGAAGAAAATAAGGCTGACATACCAGTAAACAGTGGTGGGTCCCAAAACTAGTCCTGATATAGCAGGTAATACCTACTTTAAAAAGGAAATTCAAGGCAAAAAAAAAGTTATTTAAACATATATTTATGTAATATGTATATTAATGGGATTTCAAAATAGTAATTAAAAACATTTCATCTTTATACACATACTTATCAAGTAAATATTGATTCACTATCTAGAACAGGGGTCCTCATTTAAACAGGGGGCCAGTTCACTGTCCCTCAGACCGTTGGAGGGCCGGACTATAGTTTAAAAAAAAACTATGAACAAATTCCTATGCAAACTGAACATATCTTATTTTGAAGTAAAAACACAAAATGGGAACAAATACAATATTTGTATTTGCATGTGGCCCACGGGCCATAGTTTGAGGACCCCTGATCTAGAAAATAAAAACTAATCATTACATTTACATTTACACTGCATTTGTATTTAATAATTAATTTTTAGTATTTAAGTAAACAAGGAAAAGTATACTTCAAAGAAAAAAATACTATAGCACAAAACATTAAAAAATTTACTTTGTATTCCCCCTCATGCACACACATTTTATTCACCATAAAAAGAAACACAAATGATCATCTAATTGCAAAGTGCTACTACATTCAGTTGTACTGTAAAAATGGCCTAAATTAGCTTCGGAGAACAGTGGCATCTGGTTGTTTGTGTGTGTGTGTGTGTGTGTATATATATATATATATATATATATATATATATATATATTCTTGCTCCAGGTAGTAAAATGGTAACACACGGATATTCTAAAGTAAGCAAGCGAAGGAGTTTGGGAATCACCATACAATGCGCAACAATGTACTTTCCAGTCTAGATAGATGACTCTTGGAAAGGCCCAGCTTTTCTCTCCATCTCTACCCTCATCCATATATTATTTGTGCCTTTGGAATTACTTTTAAAGAGAAGAAAAGGGAAAGGTGATATTAAGAATTTAGGCCACACTCTTGGAAAAAGTACAAAAAATAACTACCATTTTCAAATTACCATACTTGTATCCTATAAATTGACATTCCATTTATTATGTTTAAAAGTAAGATAATAATTTCAACAACTGTTACTTTTACTTTTGCAATTTTTTCTTTCCATTACTCTTAAAACAGGAAATAGAAACAACACAAAACACAAAAATAAAAGAATGCTCTAACAGTAGCTTTCAAACTGTGCTATCCCAGATTATGCAAGGATTTTCAATTAGAATTACTTGAAAAAAATAATGGAATTGAGACTGTATATGTTTCTCTTCCTGAAATAAGACAACTTAGCACTGGGCCAGGTGTTGTTTCTTAACCATGACTTCAGGATGGGAGGAGGTGGTTAAAAGAGGTGAAGCTAGACAACTCATACCAAAAAAAGATCAGAAGCTCACAGTTATAATCTGACAATGAGATCAAATTTTAATAATTACTGCCCCCTTTGCTCTCAAGTCCTATGTTATTTAGTGAGTTTCATCTAGATAAACACATTTAGATGGTACTGTGGATAGGGTGAGGAGTGAATTTCCACAGCTCTACACCCTCAACAGAGAAGGTTCTGCTTACCTGCTTCTGAGAACTGGTTCAATAGCATATTAGCATTTAAGGAGTAAACCAAAGGGTCCACTTCAATAACTCTTACACCAACAAAGAAAAAAGCTGCCCTTATTTAAGTGAAAATTCAAGATCACCAGCATAGTCTGTGTCAGGGCACATATGAACTACACAAGTCTCATGCTTTTGACCATCAGTTCCTTAAGTCCCAAGACTGGAATGAAACCAGATAAATGCCTGAGGAACCACTTCACACCCCAAACACGTGCAAACTTTGTTCAACAGAACACTTTACTGCCAAAATGGAGTTGGCAGAAATTTGGAGCCAAGGCCCCCAGGCTGCATGATCTGCTGGCACCAGAAAGCTTAAAAATCTTAACATAATACTGCTCAGTTTGAGTTCTACCAATTTGCTTGAGACGCCTTCCCCAAATTTGACTTGAGAAAGTTGAAAGCTGCCATCAAGAAAGACTTTATTAAGACTTATCCTCTATCTAAAAATAATTTGATTTCCCACTCCTGATGGTCATACCTCTATATTCCTTGATGGTTATGTTTATGCTATAAATCTAATGCAGTCTATTTTATGATGCATGTAAATTCAATTTTGTTTAGTACAGGGAGAACTAAATTAGTTATGACAAAGTTTTACTTAGAAAACATTTGTACCAAAAAACCCCCATATATCACAATTTATTACCCTCAAAAGTGTGAGAAATTAAAATATAGAATATCTGTAAATTGCTATTATTTTGCATTTGATTTAGCTTGTTCTCTAATTTTTCTGAATTTGAGTAATCATTTATTTGTATACTAGAGGCCCGGTGCATGAAATTTATGCACTGAGGGGGGGGGATGTCCCTCAGCCCAGCCTGCACCCTCTCCAATCTGGGACCCCTCGGGGGACGTCCGAGTCACTGTGGGATCGGGCCTAAACCAGCAGTCAGACATCCCTCTCACAATCCGGGACTGCTGGCTCCCAACCACTCGCCTACCTGCCTGTCTGATTGCCCCTAACCGCTTCTGCCTGCCAGCCTGATTGCCCCTTAACCACTCCCCTGCCAGCCTGATCGATGCCTAACTGCTCCCCTGCTGGCCTGGTCCCCCCAAACTGCCCTCCCCTGCTGACCCGGTCACCCCCAACTGCCCTCCCCTGCCAGCCATCTTGTGGTGGCCATCTTGTGTGAGGGTGTGACAGTCAATTAGCATATTATCTCTTTATTATATATTATATAGGATGAACTATTTAGAAAGTGAGGAAAGAAACCAAGAGTTCTTCTTCTTCAAAACATTCAACAAATGAGCCTGGCCAGTGTGGATCAGTGGTAGAATGTTGACCCAGGAACCAAGGGGTCACTGGTTTGATTCCTGGTCAGGACACATGCCTGGGTTTCAGACTCGATCTCCAGTAAGGGGTGTGTAGGAGCAGCCAATCTTTCATGGGTGTTTCTATCTCTTTACCCTCTCCCTTCCTCTCTCTCTAAAAATCAATAAAGGAAAAACAATTTTTTAAAAATGTATTTTATTGATTTTTTTACAGAGAGGAAGGGAGAGGGATAGAGAGTTAGAAACATCAATGAGAGAGAAACATTGATCAGCTGCCTCCTGCACACCTCCTACTGGGGATGTGCCCGCAACCAAGGTACATGCCCTTGACTGGAATTGAACCTGGGACCCTTCAGTCCACAAGCCGATGCTCTATCCACTGAGCTAAACTGGTCAGGGCGGAAAAACAATTTTTTTAAAAAGATTCAACAGTTAGGTCCTATTTGGGATCTTCATAAGCTTGATGAAATTTAATGAGGAAAACTGCACCTAAATTTAAAATTGTAGTTAGAATACCAGCAACTATACAACTAGTAATTTTAAAGTTATAAATGCTTGCCCTGGTCGGTTTCGCTCAGTGACTAGAGTGTTGGCCTGGGGACTGAAGGGCCAGCGTTCGATTCTGGTCCAGGGCACACGCCGGGTTTGCAGGGTCGATCCCCAGCAGGGGACGTGCAGGAGGCAGCTGGTCAATGATTGTCTCTCATCATTGATGTCTCAATCTCTCCCTCTCCCTTCCTCTCTGAAATCAATGAAAATATTATTTTTTAAAAAGTTGTAAATGCTTGATAAATATGCAGTATTGAGAAACTATAGCTTGCTTTGGAAGGTTAGCTTGTGCTGTTCCCGTAAGAGATCAAGTTTACAGTAAAGATGCTTGCTCCTCATATAACTAAAAAAGGTGGTGGTGGGGAGCTTATTGAGGTGAAACCTTCTCATCTTTTCCCTCAGTACCTCCATGTATTTTAATAATTTCTCTGACTTTCTATTTTTTCCTCTTCTAGAACCTCCTGGACAAAACACTCTTTAGGATATCAAGTTGCAGAAGACTGCAGTTTCAAAGATATTTATATAGTAGTGCTGCCACCTAAAGATGAGGTGAATAAAGAAGCAATTCAAAGGAAATGACCCATCATTCTTAAACCTGTCTCAAACATTTTCTCACCTCTAACTAGGCATTGATAAACATTATGCTGTTAGTATGGGAGCTGAACTGTTTCACAATAACTTACTGCTGAGCTGCAATTTTCTATGGCAGAAAATTTCAAGCTCAAAATTCAAATCTTTTAGAGTCTTCTATGGTTTGGGGTCTCCAAGAATATCTCCCGAAATTATTTCTTTCAGACATTAGACACTGTCTACCATACATGGCGTGGGGGGGGGGGGGTGGGTGGGCGGGGATGAAAAGATACCTGGAAGTAAACATTTGAGGGATTTCCGATTTAGTGGATAAAGTGAGGGATAATATATTTCCCTCTATCACTGACAGACTTCTTGCAACGTGAACTAATACTTATTTTTTGTAACTCAATTTCCTCGTCTATAAAATGGGGTTAATTTCACTTTGCTCTTACTTACCTCGCAGGTTAATTAGATAAGCTTATTGGAAAAGTAAGCTTATTGACTTCTCTGAAATTAAAATGATAAAGATAGTGAAAGCAGTTTCGTTTTGTAGCTAATAATTTTTAACAGATCCACGTTCTATGCACGCAGTGTTGCAGAATGAAGCTGTGACAGCATACGAAGCCAGGAAAAAAGTTGCCGTGCACCAAAAATCTTGTTAAACTTGGTAAGATTTCCAGGCAACTCTTAAGAGGACATTTTATAGTTGTGCATTTCAATCTCTGCATAGCAATTTGTGAAAATTAACTCGCCCCTTTTGCTTTCTCCCTCTCGGCCCAAGGACGCATACATAATATTTATCAGAGTTTTGTCCTTAGTCACAGTCCCTCCAAGGGGCCCAGTTTCACCTACACTGCGTGGGAGGCCGGGCAGCAAACCCCACACTTCCTGTCAAGGATTCCCGGGGCTGCAGCCCGAACGCGGTCGACCCACCTTCCTCTACGCTAATTCTGCCCTTCCAGCCCCGCCCGAACGGCGTTTGAAGGCCAAGGTGAGACCCTCCCGGGAGATAAGAGGCCCTTTGCCTCCAGAGAAATGAGGGCGGGACGAGGGCCGGAGGGGGGCGGAGGGAGGGTGACGCGCTGGGAGCTGCACCAACTATGACTCTGAGGGCCCTAAACTGGAGCTGACGCAGGCCCTGCAGGGCCCCGTTCCCGCTTGAGCCCGGCTTCGGCCTTCAAATCCCAAGAAGGGGTAAGTCCTCCAGAGGCCGCTGCCGGCGGCGGACGGAGGAAGTGCGGGCGGAGAGTCCGCAGGCAGCCCCCTCCTCAGACGTGCTTCCAGGCCTGGGCCGCTGACTGTTGACGCGCCGACGGCGGGGGGCGCGCGCACGCGCAAGATGGGGGCGGAGGGAGCGCGCTCCGCGGCCGCCGCCGCCGCCGCAACTGAATCCGAGGGACGTGAGGGCGGAGGGCGAGAGCCACGGAGGGGGGAAAATGGTGGGTAGCGCGGGGCGCGCGCTGACGTCGCCCGGAGTCACGCACGGAGCGCCGGGTTACGCGCCGACGTCTGGCTGCCACGACTTGCCGTCTGCAGCGGCGGCCGCGGCGAGCGGATCCCGTCGGGGAAGGAGGAGGAGGGGGGAGAGCCAAGGGGGCTGTGAGTGAGCGGGAGAAGCCGCGTGTGAGCGGGGCTAGCCCGCGGGAGGGAGAGCGAGCGAGAGCCGAGCCAGCCTTCCGAGTCGCCTCCTCCTCCTCCCCTCGGCGTCCCGCCCCCGCCTGCCAGCCCGCCCTCCTCCCTCCTCGGGCAGCGGAGCTCCAGCGAAGCGCAGCTCGGCTCGCGCCGCTGTCCAGGACAGGTGTGCGCGCGCGCCCTCCTCCCCCTTCCTCGCGCCTGCCGAGCGCGCGCCCTCCCTCACCTGCGGCAGGACAGCGCCCGCCCGCCCGCCCGGGTAAGCCCCTCGCGACCTTTCCTGCGGCCACTGCCACAGCTCGAGCCCACCCCATCCCTCTAATCGCCTTCTTACCCCCCAGGAGTAATTACTGTACTAGTAATTATGTCTGTGTAGTAGACATCCCCGCACCCTCCCTCGGGAGACCCTGGCGGTGCAGCAACGCCCCCCCCTCCTCCCCCGTCGCGCAAGAATGAACACCTCCAAAAAAGAACAAAATAACACGCCCCTTAAGGAAAGAAAACAATCCTACCTCCGCAGGCACTGGAGACCACCAGTGGTGCCCGTTTGCTTAGCAATCCCTAAGCCCTATTTTCCCTGGCCACCTTCGCCCGGGGCCTGGGACAGTGCGCCAAACGTGGCCGGCACTCCCTGCACAGCAACCCTGGCAGAAGGGGAGGGGAAGGAGGGTTCTAGGCTCCACTACCAACCCCTCCTCTCCTGTGTTCCACCTCCCCCTTCCCTCCCCCCTCCCCCCGTAATACATACACCCGCCCAGGATTCGTTGTAAAAATGAAAAATAATAACATTCATGCTGACATCGCAGATGAAGCCAGGCCCAAGGATGGGTGGCCCGCGCAAGGCATTTTTGCTGCCCCACAGAGCTAGGTCAGCTCAACAGCCTCCTCTGCCTTTGATGGGGGCCAAAGGAATGGTTGTGAAGCCGGAGGGGCTTCCCTTTGAGCAACAGTGGGCTCCAGAGGCGGGTGAGATGTGTGTAGGGGAAAGGACCCAGGGACCGCCCACCCCCGCAGATCTATCTGCCTGGAACCTGAACTTGGATAGAGAAAGGCCCAAGAGTCCGACTGGGGCAACTTTCTTTGGTTCGTTGTCTGCCGCTGAATAAACGCCACCTTAATCTCGCTGTCTCTGCAGACCCTCTTGAGGGTTCTAATTCGTTCTTATTTGGGCCCCTTACGTTTCTGTCCGACCAGGCGCTTTGGGGCAGCTTTTTGCAGCGGTATCTGTGTTTGTGTCTCGCGTCCTTGGAAGGGAGGTTCTAGTGCTTTACAATAGGCTAAATTGGGTTTGACAGCTTTGGGTAGACTGTCAGAGAAGAAAAGGGATTTTTTTTTTTTTATTACTTCAAGACCCCCCACTGTTTCCCTCCCAAACGGACGTTTTCAAATTTCGGCTTTGAAAATTGGAGTGTTGACTAGTGTGTGGAGGGAGTTGCTGATTTCATTCCTTTGGGTACTAGTAAAACCATTTAAGTATCTTCCGGAAGAGAGAGAGCTATTGACCTTTGCATTGGTTCTGTTTGGACCTGTTGGGTACATGAAATGTCAGTTTTCTGAAAATTTTTGTCTAATTTAGAATGTGTGGTACGTTTATTTAACTCTTCTGAGCATGCTTAAAATGAAAACGTTTTGTGAAAGGCGAAGATTTTATTACATGGATTGTTCTCTTAGATTTTAAATTTTAAATTTATATCTTTAACCCTACGCATTAAAATAGCATTGAAGAGGCATAATATTAAAGTTCAGGCGAGCTATAGAAAGGGGATGCGCATTTTTAAAAATGATTGGTGAAATATTACTATTAGCCTTTGTTGTTGTCATTAAATGTTAAGATCTACTTGAGAGTCTCCCATAATTTTTCTGGTAGATAGCCATGAGAAGTGGTAATTTCTCCACTTTGAACACTTGCAGTACAACATTCCAGTTTTAATGATTTGGATATTGAAGATAATTGTCTAGTTTAAGACAGGCATTTAACCTAAGCAGCACTTGAAAACATGTTTTAGTGTTCTTGTTCTCTTTTATTTTAGAAATTGTGATTTTGTGAAATTTAATCGCATATTGTTTCAAAAGGGCTTATTACCCAGAAGAAGATCCCCTGTCTCCAAGTTTATTTTATAAATGCGTGTGCTAATTTTTACTTTTAAAAGGCAAAGCTGAATTAGGTTATTTCAGAATCACCCATAGTTTAGGCTGAGGGAAATTGAGGCTTTTTTCTTTTTGGTTTTGCCTAATGTCTGTTTCACTTGCAAACAATTTTTTGTTGGTAAGAGTTTGTTAAAGACAGATGATGGGATTAAAAATAAAGCAGTCTATTCTCTTCAAAATGTGTGTTAGTGTTACTAAAAGCACAAGAAATCTAGAGACATTTATCATTTTTTAATGTAAGCATACTTTGAAAAAGGGAATCTTTTATGATTTTTCATTAACACATTTTGTTGCATATTAATATATTTCGTTTTTCTTTCTATTTCCTACATTGCATTGAAATTTTAAATTTAATCTTACAACTACTTATTTTAAAATTACATATTTAAACAGCTAGACACTAAAACTGGCTTTTCATTTACCAAGTTAGTATATTGTTTAGGTAGTTAACCAATGGTTAGAAGTCATTTTAAATCCACAAATTTTCTAATGGATTTTCAATGTTAGGATGCAAATCTGACTTTGAAATTCTACTTAAGGTTCAAACTTTTTGTTTTAAGACTTTCCCTGGGTCATTATTCATTCTTCTTAGATTATCTTTTTAAGGCTACTGTATTCCATAACCTAAGAAAAACTACCTTTCACCACCCTCCCAATCTGACCAAAAGTCCAGATTTACAGGCTTATCCTACAATTAACTCTTGTTTGAGCAGTGAAAAAATGTACTAAATATCAAATTTTTCATTGAATTGTTTTGGAAAAGGCATTACTCTCATTTGCTTTTTTAGATACATTTAAAAAGTAGGTGGGAAGCTGGTTTATAATAGCAAAAATTTTATATATATACATGTAGAATAAATAGCATAAAATAAGTAAGTACATATTTATGCAGAGAGATCCAGGTTTCGGTTGCTTGATTATTTGAGCTTAATATTCCCATTTTAATCGTTCAAATGATATTTAACTTATGTTTTGTCTAGAAACGTCATCAGTTACTTATGTAATGGGGAACTAAGAACTCGGTTCCTGGATACAGTTTTTCAGAAAATCAGAACATTCCCAAACTAAAATTGCTTCAGAGCCCCTGAACATAATCATTTGGGACAGGGCAAGAAATTTAGACTCCAAAGGTGGTCCAAGACGGCTGACGGCTTAAAGCCCTAGTTTTCTGCCCTGGGGAAGTGACCATTAGCACGGAAGAAGGCTGGCGGATTGGCGCGTGCCCCCTCATCGCAATCCTATTGGCTTTGTTGCTGCCTTGCGCTCTTCTGAGGGGGCAAGAGCTTGGTATAGCGCAGGATAAACACTTGAGGAAGAGCAGCGACTCTTCTAGCTCGGACTTCACCAGATCTTACCCTCAGCTTACAAGTGGTACCAAAATGCCCCTGCTCCGCTGGGTTCTGTAAGGAAACCCTGCCACTCAGCGTTTGCGTCCGTTTGGGGCTGGGGTCTATCCAGGGTCCTGATCGTTACTATGGGAGCCTCGAGAAGCCTCCGCTTCTTTATACGTTTTTCTGTGTGGCTCGAAGTGCGCTTATAGTTCCTACGTCCCTTTCCCGACAGGAGAGGGAGTGCAGGAAAATCAGCATTGAAAGGGAACTATGTGATACTGGAGGATGCCCCCCAAACTAAGGGGAAGTTCTTTATGGTGCCCAAAGCCTGGATTTCTACCTCTTAGTGGGCTTCCCCATTAGGAAGTCATTTCCAGGACCACTGGCCTGATGAGTGATTCTAGAGCTGGCTCACAAGATTACCTCAGTTTGCTCTTTGGTAGCCAGGGTGCTTTTTGCCCTGTTATCTCTTGAATAGAAGTAGCAAACGTCAGCCTAGAGCTGAAGTAACTAATGCTGGGTAGAATGGGGCCCTTGCTAAGAGAAAAAGAAAGCTGTGGATACCTAGCAGGCAGGTTTGCCCAGGATGTTGCGAAGGGAAATATTAGGGCTTTGAAGGCTCAGGTATTGACAAGGCTTATACCTTGGACTGGTCTGGGTTTCTTGATCATTAGTACTATTTTCACCTCTCTTCCAGGAAGCTTGGGCAACCATGTACTCAGCTGTTTCCAGGGCTAAGAGTGAGGGAGACAAGTCTCCTTACTTGAGGGGGTGCAGTATGTTCAGGGGGAAGGGAACCCATTGATGGGATAGGCATACTCTTCTCAGGATGGAGGCAGCAATCCATGCTTGAGAAAGTCAGGATTAGGGCTGTTAGGTCTGTACCTTCTGAGCCCCTGTAGAAGGTGATGGGTAGGGGGTAGGGACATTGGCAGGGGGTCCTCTGGAGATAGGCCTTAGCTTTCCTACAGCTGTTAGGACTGCAGGCTGCAGTGAGGTAGTTATGAGCATTCGCTATATATTTTGGAGAAGGAAAATAGGCCTTAGATTATGTCTCAAATGTAGGAAGAGAAAAATCAGTGATTTCCGAGACTAGAGACAACCCCTTTAGCTGTCACTGTCCAAAGACTCATTGGTTAACTAATGGTCGGTAACCTAGCTGTCTGCCCAAAAAATCATTTAATGTTTTACTTTTTGAGAGGTGGGGGCTCTCCTTGACACTCGGGAGTTTCTGGGAGGGGCAAAATGATGAGTGAACCTGTGTTAATGAATCCCGTAAGGAACTGCGTTTCCCAGGAAATTCCTGGCATTTTTAGCTCGTGAATATCCTAAAGCCTGCTTGATTTTCTCCTCCATTCTGGGTCCTTCCAGAGAGGAAGAAGAGTGGGCTAGGGGGCTGAAGGCTCGGCAGGGCCTGGTTCATCTGCAGAGCTGGCCAGCAACCTAGACTGGGCTCAGCCCTAAGCAGAGTTGCCCCCCTTCCCCAAATCTCGGAAGGAGGAGGGGGAGGTAGGCAGGCAGTCTGGGTCCCAGAGGGGGCTGGTGGAAGGTTTTTGGGTGAGTGGGGGGTTTCTTTTTGATTGTTGTTTGGGGGGAAGGGCATAGCCAACTGGAACAGGCATTGCGGGCACCCCGGCCCTGGTGCGGCCGCCGTCCTCTGCTCAGCTCCCCCCGCCGGTGAGTGCGCCCGCCCGACTGTGCGGGGCTGCGGTTGGGGGGAGGGGGGAGCGGGATCATCTGAGGCCAGAGCCGCTGCGCTGGGAGGGGGAGCGGCGGGAGCGAGGGGAGGGACCGGCTAGGTGTCTGCTGCTCCGCGCCACTGCTGCCGGCGCCCCGACCTCATCCCCGGCAGCCCCTTCTGCAGCTAAGGGTTACTGCTGCACCACCTCTCCTCTTCCTCACCCTCCTCTGCGGCCAGGGCTCTGCGGTAGGAGACAGCCCAGCCTGGCGGCATGTGGGCCGTTCTGGGTTTGGGTCTGGGTCTTGTTGGGGCCTGCAGGGGAGGGGTGGCCGTGACTTGGTGTCCCTCTCTGCAGAGGGCTCTGCTGCGCTGCGCAGGCCCCTACCCCCACATCCCTTTGGGGTCACTGGAAAGCAGAGCTCAGGCCCGCTCCCTATGCTTAGTATGGCAGCTCTCGTCTCACCCATAGTCCCCCAACTCTCCGGGCCAAGGCCGCCCAGGGTCTGGCCAACAGCGACAGCCACAGTGGTGGCGGCGGCAGCAGCTGCGACGCAGCGCGTCCTGCCCCCCCCCCCTCCCTCCACCTCCCAGCCAGGGGTGTAGGGTGAGAGCCTGGGGTGGGCGCCGCCTGGCGGGCGGGCGGCGGGCGGGGGCTGGCAGTGGGGAGGGGGCGCAGGTCACGTGCCCGGCGGGCGGGTGGGTGCGTACAGTAGGGCGCCCTGCTACTGTACTGGGGAGTCAGTGCCCTGTTACCGGGTCTCGTCTGTCTCGTCTCTCCCGCAGATCTCGCGAGAGTGGCTGACTGGCTGTGGGGGTTGCGGCGGCAGCAGGCGGAGCCGGGGAGGGAAAGCAGCGGCGGCTGAGGCGACTGAGGCGGCGGCGGGCGGAGCGGCAGCCGGCGGCGGCGAGGCGGCGGAGCGCAGCATCATGGCGGACCGAGACAGCGGCAGCGAGCAGGGTGGTGCGGCGCTGGGCTCGGGCGGCTCCCTGGGGCACCCGGGCTCAGGCTCGGGCTCCGGCGGGGGCGGTGGTGGCGGCGGGGGCGGCGGCGGCAGTGGCGGCGGCGGGGCCCCGGGGGGGCTGCAGCATGAGACGCAGGAGCTGGCCTCCAAGCGGGTGGACATCCAAAACAAGCGCTTCTACCTGGACGTGAAGCAGAACGCCAAGGGCCGCTTCCTGAAGATCGCTGAGGTGGGCGCGGGCGGCAACAAGAGTCGCCTCACTCTCTCCATGTCAGTGGCCGTGGAGTTCCGTGACTACCTGGGCGACTTCATCGAGCACTACGCGCAGCTGGGCCCCAGCCAGCCGCCCGACCTGGCCCAGGCGCAGGACGAGCCGCGCCGGGCGCTCAAGAGTGAGTTCCTGGTGCGCGAGAACCGCAAGTACTACATGGATCTCAAGGAGAACCAGCGCGGCCGCTTCCTGCGCATCCGCCAGACGGTCAATCGGGGGCCCGGCCTGGGTTCCACGCAGGGCCAGACCATTGCGCTGCCCGCACAAGGGCTCATCGAGTTCCGCGACGCTCTGGCCAAGCTCATCGACGACTACGGAGTGGAGGAGGAGCCGGCAGAGCTGCCCGAGGGCACCTCCTTGACTGTGGACAACAAGCGCTTCTTCTTCGATGTGGGCTCCAACAAGTACGGTGTGTTTATGCGAGTGAGCGAGGTGAAACCCACCTACCGCAACTCCATCACCGTGCCCTACAAGGTGTGGGCCAAGTTCGGACACACCTTCTGCAAATACTCGGAGGAGATGAAGAAGATTCAAGAGAAGCAGAGGGAGAAGCGAGCTGCCTGTGAGCAACTCCACCAGCAGCAACAGCAGCAGCAGGAGGAAACCACCGCTGCCACCCTGCTACTGCAGGGTGAGGAAGAAGGGGAAGAAGATTGATCAAACTGAATGGAAAAAAACCCCACACACATGCATACACACACATACATACTCACACACAACTACACACACAGAAAATATACTGTAAAGAAAGAGAGAAAATAAAAAGTAAAAAAAAAAAAAACTTAACTCCAAGGGAGCACCACCCACAGAACCTCCACCAACTGACAGTTTCTCTTCTTGACTTGCCACCCATCGCTGGATGTTGTCCACTTTATCCACCATATAAAACAGTAAGCAGCTGCTAAAACAAAAAAAAAATACAAAAAGTAATAACATTATATGAACTGTGTTTCCTACTTGATTAAAAAATATAAAGAACTGAGTGTTTATTTCCCTAATTAACCAAGAACTTTTGTACACGTTTAAGCTATTATTATTAAAAGTGTTTGCAAAATGGTCAAGATTATAATATTGCTGAATTATATAAAAGTCCTTTTCATGTTGAGCTAACATTTGACTTTAGCACAAAAAAGAGATATTTTAGAACACGTAAAATAATATTTTTAGTTTTTCTCATTTTGTTACCAAATTTCAAACCTTACATGGAGGTTATTATAGTATATTTGACACCCTATATACCTGTGATTAGAGATGTGTATATATATATGAGGGCTAGGCATGCTGTGTGTCTGAGCTTTGTCTAAATGTTATGCAGAAGTTTGTAGAGTTAAAGGTACGTAGGTTTAATTCATGCAAGATAAACAATAAGTGCTCTCTTTTATACAATATGCATTGCATCTGGACCTTAAACATAAAAATGGTCAGTGAAACTTCTGTGAACATGAAGAAATTATTAAAAAAGGCATTTAAATGAAATTTGCTAAGTTGTGATTTTTATGGTTGGAACCAAAGTTATTCAAATAGCAAAAGGAAATAGAGAAAGAGAGAAAAAGGAAATCTCCCATAATATTTTTCTGCATCTGTTTGCTTTGAGTAGTCATTTTGTCACTGTGTATATGAGATGTACTTGTATTGTTCATAATATATTTTTTTCATTATGTGTAGAAAGATTTTAAAAACTAACGTGCAGCAATTTCCAGTGAACCTGTACTTGGACATCAGGTAGTGAGTCTATTTGTGGTCACTAGCACTGTCTCCTAAATTTGTAAGAGGTCTGAAGCTATCCTTTGGTTTTTGCCAGTGCTATTAACTTATGTAGACCTGTTAAAAAGCAGAGCAACACAATTATAGTTATCCTACTGAGCCATGGATTCTGAGTTTCCTTTTAAAAGAGAAAGCTAAGTTAAGTTGGTGTACGTAAAGGATTTCCATGTAGCTGTGGTGCTAGTTATTACTGGCTACATTATATGCTAAGTGTATTTGTGTTCCCCAAGTGTACAAGCCTATCAAAAGTATGTTCTATCATTCATATATTCAAGGTGTAGCGTATGAAAATGAAAAGCTTAGGAGAGCACTTTACCAAGCTGGTGTCCTCCAAACTGAAATTGTTAGTAACGATAGTCTTTTACAGGTTTTCATTTAAAAATGTTTGTGTGCTTTTAATTGACAACTAACTCCTTGCTGCTGTATAGTAAAATATTAATATATTTTTATCATTAAACTGCTGCATGACTATCATCTTTGAGTGAAGAGAAAATGTTATAAAAAAAGATGCCTTAAACAGTACATTTTGGTTTGGAATTCTGTAGAAAGCATTTTGTGTTTGTTTTTTTAAAAAGGACCTTGTCTGACAGAGAGGGTTGTGTGGATAGAATTGTTTCTTGGCAAATTCAGACATATAGATCTAACTGCTGTATGTAGGAGACATCACCTGTAGGAGCTGGAAGGTGTCAGTGCTTCTCATATTGTAAAGCATTGGCCTAGGAAGGTGAAACAGTTGTCTTTTTGAAGGATTTTTTTTTTCTGCTGGTTCTTTGGTTTTGATTTGATATTTTTAAGCTCCCTGGTTGAGTGTGTTGTCTTTGTTTTTGAGATCTACTGTATGTGTTGAATAACAAGCTATTTCCATTGTACTGTGCATTTTCCCATTATAGTTCCCATAGTTTGCTTTTACTATTCATACAATGTTAAATATGAAGTGACCGTACAATAGTTAGGAATTTCTTTACTTACAAAATCACTGGAAATAGTTAAATTGCTTTTCCCCTTTCCCCAAGGTGCATTTTCTTATTTCCACATAGTAAAGTTGAGCTTTTACAGTGCATAATGTGACATTTGGAATGCTTATTCAACTGCATGTAAACATTAATAACCTGCACTTTTTTGTCTTAAGGTTTGTTGAGCTGTTTTGTTCACTGTACTTTAACTGTGATATGGAAAAGACTGCATTATCTGTGCTGTTACTAGTTAGGAAAGAGAATTGCTTTGATTTTGTCTCTTGTTTACTATAGCTTCTTAAAGTTAATCCTTGTACTACAGGTTGTTGGAGTACTCCTAGATCAGTGTTTTATAGTAGCCAGCAATAAGTAGTGCAGGTCAACAAAAACACAGCAAACTTAGGCTAAGTGTCCTTTCTTTGAGATGCGAGTTCTCTCATGAGGTTTTCTTTAGGGTCTAAGTTACCTAAAATGAAGCCTTTCTTACCTATAGACTTCCGATTCTGCTTGGAATCCTACTGGATCAAGAAGCACAGTTGTGCAGTTGTCTTTACACTATAACAGTTAAACACAATCTTACCAAGATTTTGAAACCATTGTCTGATTTATAGTCAGTGGGTTTTAAAAGAAATCCACATGCAGATCTTGTAAGACTTAAGAGATGATCATAGAAAAGACTAAGTGACTGTAAAGATGCTCTTATTTTGCATCTCACTTTACCTCCCCAAGCACCCTCCCAAACCTTCCCTTCTCTCTCCTGTTTCATCCCTCTCCCCCCTCCCTTTTCGCCTCCTGCTCCCCAGGTGCTCGGTACTTTACCAAGGTCTATATCTCAGTGTTTTATGTTGGAGTTTTTCCTTGTTTTTATTTTACTAGTTGGTAAACCCTGTTTGTGCTGAAATAAAAAAGGAAATGGTTGGTATATTTGACCATATGTGTTATTCATAGAAGACAGTATGATCAAATGTGCCAAAAATAAGCAAACAAAACTTAATTCCTGACAAGTATGCCTTATTTTTTATGATCTGCTTTGTCTTATTATTAAGGTCCAAGAGTTTGGTTAAACTATTATTTGCCTAAGTATACAAGAAAACTTGAAATGCATTGCAATATTGATGTTCTTTAAAATGAGAGACACTGTCAAGTAATTTAATCTAGAGATCAGCCACCAGATTTGAAATGCCCATATATTATGTGTGTGTGTTTGGTGTTGTTGTTTGTTTGTTTTTTCTTTTAAATCACCAAATCTTTTTTAAAGCTACTTTTTATTTGTGCCTCCTATTTGTCATGCTGATGTTAGAAGCAGCAGTCATCCAGCCACAGAGGGAGCTAAAGTTAACTAACCAGAACTGTAGAAATCATTATACATGCCTTTGACAACAAAGGAAGTTTATAAGAAAAGCCATGTTGGCTTTTCCTCCACTAGATACAGATTGGAGATAGATGAATATTTGCCAAATGGAAAAAACAACAATGCAAGTTAGGAAAGACAGACTTTTCCAGCTTCTTAAAAGCCATGGAGAGTAGAAACCAAAACCAATAGGGAAAATAAAAAACCTTGAAAGTCTCACTTTCTAGTTGTCCCATGCAGGGGTTGAAATTTGACTCAAAGTGGAAAATATATATCAGTGTGTTTTTTAGGTCTTCACATCTGGAGATGGATAACTATTCCAAATTATTTTTCAGGTAATTGAGAAAGCTGCTAGTAATTTTAACCCCTGCCTAAAGAAGACAGATAATTTTATTTGGGAGCAAATACTTATTGCCTTGAAAATAGCACTGTAATAGCCTATGATAATTAGTTGTAGAATTACCTTTATCCCTTTGAAACTATGCAAATTATTAAACAAGTGTAAATTAGGACTCAATTAAAGATAGTTGATTATATTGCAATCAGATGGCATTCACAAACTTAACTGGAGAATATACAAATAAAATCTATTAGTCTAAGAGTTTTGTATGCTAACAGAAAAATATAATTTAGCTACCTATTCTAAAAATGGTGAATATTATTAATATTGTATAATAGGACTGGGAAGACTGCCTCCTTTTTTGAAGAGAGAGAGAGATATTAAGGATTTTTATAATTATTTTTCATCAAATTTTAATATTTTTGTCAAAATTTTAGGTATTTAATTTGTAAAACAGTTTGCTTTGTACTGGCATACAGAAAATAGGGTATTGATTTTAAACTTTTTGAAGCCAAGTGATCAAGTACATTTGTAATAAAAGTCAATGGATCTATATCAGTTGTACTCACTGTTTTCATTTCTTCTTAATATAGGAATGCTGTACTTCCCTGCAGGAAAACTGAACTAAATTTGGGTGGAAGGGAGGGGAAAAGATAAGGTCAATGATAATGAGAATCTGGGTGGGTACTACTGGCCCAAGCATTTTACATAATCTTTTAAGTCAGTTAAAATTTGGTATATTAAAAAGATGCCTATGTCAATTTTTTGTTCCTGTTTTTTTTTTTTAAAATGGAAATTGATGTTTGTGGGGGTTATCTCATTTACTGTTTCTGTGCTTTAACATTTTGCATTTAGCACTGTTGAAACTTTCTAAACATTCTTCTTTCATGACATTTTGAGATATCTACCGACCATTGGTGACTGGATCATGGGCATGATTATTTTTATCTCCTTCGAATGTTCACCCTCTCTTCTTCATATTCCCACTCATTTTTTAATATTACTTACACACATTCCAGATGATTTTAGAATGGGGATTTCTGAAATTGTTGCTCTGGTGGCTTTCATAGTTCCACAATTCATTTTATTATACATGTGAACATATTTTTAAGATTGCCCCCCATAAAACACGAGATATCAAATCTAATGACTTTTTCCCCTTTTCAGAGTCTTTTCAATATCATAATGCGATCCTGCTTTCTAAGTAAAAGGATGCTAAATCCAGGGGATCTTTAGCAACTTAGGTTTGGAACAATTGGTGATAATCCTGAGTATAACATTTATAGTTGATTTTCCCTAAATTTGAATATCTTAATAATTTGGAGATATATATACTTCCCCATGAGAGTGGAATGAATAGGAAGGAGAATTTATTGGAATTGCTTAAGTGAATAAATTAACTAAAATTGTACAAAGTTGTCTGTTAAAGTTTATCCATTTTTAAATCAGACATTGTAATATTTCTGGGGGTATTTTCCGTTACAACTTAACTGAATATAGGCCATTCATAATGAAGTACACTATAAAACTAAAGTGACCACTGCTATTAAAATTACTGTTTTCATCCAGCAGCATAAGTTACTATAGGGAATTTACAATGTGTTTTTTAAAACAGCTGATTTTAATATTTGAAGTTATTAATCCTAAAACTTAACCTAAATTCAAGGCCTAGGCCATTTGACAGGCTCTTTTGGAACATTAATTATCATGGGCTAAGATCATCTAAACTAGCAGTGGCATGAGTCAGGTAGAATTTCTAAATGCAAGAACAACCAGATGAAAAGTGAAGGATGATTGGTTTCAAACCAACGGTTTGTCATCTTTCAGCTGCTAAACTGACGACCAAGTTTTGATATTGAATGGTCTGGGCAATGTATGCCTTTAGGAAAGTTTGAGTGTGGCAAAAGTTATGTGTTATTCTTAAAGAGAATTTCATAGTTACTCATTTATTTTGTCTCCATGTTATGTTTGGTATTCATTTTCTTTTTCCTGATGTGCTTTGCTTTTGTGGAAAATTGTCTTGTTTGAAAGGTGGAAACATGGTGGTGATACTCTATGTAAAATAAAA